ACTCAGGGACAGACACAGAATTGTTACTCAGGGACACAGAATTGTTACTCAGGGACACAGAATTGTTACTGAGGGACACAGAATTGTTACTGAGGGACACAGAATTGTTACTCAGGGACACAGAATTGTTACTCAGGGACAGAATTGACACAGAATTGTTACTGAGGGACACAGAATTGTTACTCAGGGGACACAGAATTGTTACTCAGGGACAAGGACACAGAATTGTTACAGGGACAGAGAATTGTTACTGAGGGACACAGAATTGTTACTCAGGGACACAGAATTGTTACTCAGGGACACAGAATTGTTACTCAGGGGACACAGAATTGTTACTGAGGGACACAGGGTTACTCAGGGACACAGAATTGTTACTCAGGGACACAGAATTGTTACTCAGGGACAGACAGAATTGTTACTGAGGGACACAGAATTGTTACTGAGGGACACAGATTGTTACTCATTGTTACTCAGGGACACAGAATTGTTACTCAGGGACACAGAATTGTTACTCAGGGACACAGAATTGTTACTGAGGGACACAGAATTGTTACTGAGGGGACACAGAATTGTTATTGTTACTCAGGGACAGACACAGAATTGTTACTCAGGGACACAGAATTGTTACTCAGGGACACAGAATTGTTACTGAGGGACACTCAGGGACACAGAATTGTTACTCAGGGACACAGAATTGTTACTGAGGGGAATTGACACAGAATTGTTACTCAGGGACACAGAATTGTTACTCAGGGACACAGGTTACAGGGACACAGAATTGTTACAGACACAGAATTGTTACTGAGGGACACAGAATTGTTACTCAGGGGTTACTCTCAGGACACAGGACACAGAATTGTTACTCAGGGACACAGAATTGACACAGAATTGTTACTCAGACACAGGGACACAGAATTGTTACTCAGGGGACACAGAATTGTTACTGAGGGACACAGAATTGTTACTCAGGGACACAGAATTGTTACTCTGAGGGACACAGAATTGTTACTCAGGGACACAGAATTGTTACACAGAATCATGGGACACAGAATTGTTACTCAGGGACACAGAATTGTTACTCAGGGACACAGAATCGTTGAATTAAAGAGTATGTCAGACAACACGCAGAGGAGTGGCAGAGGAGGCAATGTTTCCGGAGCGAGCAGACGTGGCAGCAGAGGAATTGGTACTGAGGCAGCACTAGTCGCAGCCAGAGGACAGTGCTCCCGGTGTCATCCAGCGGTCGTGTCTCCACCGACAACCCTGCCGTCATCGATTGGTTGGCTCGGTCGTCTTCCTCTTCCCAGGTCACCTCTGACACCTACAGCCAACGGTCTGTGGGTACGTCAGGGACACAACCGTTAGTTGGCATGGCCCGGGAGCAAGCCCTGAAATCACGTGTCCTCTACCTGCCCCTGTCCTTTGGTGTTCCCTCACCAAGCGAAGTATCGCATGCTGTGGGCTCAGCCCCACTGTACAGTGAGGAAGAGCTAACAGAGGGCGGTCAGGAACGGGGGGAGACATCCGCCTCTTCAGCAGCCAGGCGAAGAAGTACTGGCGAGGAGAGTGGCTCGGTAGCCGGTCTAGAGACAGGTCTGTCTCCTGACCCACACGCAGCCGAGGGGGCTAGTAGTGAGGCGGAGACCCTAATTGATGATGATGAGGCTGATCGCACTTGGCAGCCTCGTCGTCATCTGCCAGGCCCGTAATCTGCCATGGGCCCCCGTACCGCCTCCTCATGCTGCTGCCAGGCCCGTAATCTGTCATGGGCCCCTGTACCGCCTCCTCATGCTGCTGCCAGGTCCAGAGTGTCTCATGGGTCCCTGTACGGCCTCCCATTGCTGCTGTCTCCATCGCACACACTCTGCCATGTGCCACTTTCAGGTCTCCTCACACTGCTGGTGGGTTCCATTTTGTCATAGGGTGCTGGCAGATTACGGGCCTCCCATTGCTGCTGCCAGGCCCGTAAATCATGGGCCCCCATACCGACTCCTCATGCTGCTGCCAGGCCCGTAATCTGTCATGGGCCCCTGTACCGCCTCCTCATGCTGCTGCCAGGTCCAGAGTGTCTCATGGGTCCCTGTACGGCCTCCCATTGCTGCTGTCTCCACGCCACACTCTGCCATGTGCCACTTTCAGGTCTCTTCACACTGCTGGTGGGTTCCATTTTTGTCATAGGGTGCTGGCAGATTACGGGCCTCCCATTGCTGCTGCTAGGCCCGTAATCTGTCATGGGCCCCTGTACCGCCTCCTCATGCTGCTGCTGCCAGGCCCGTAATCTGTCATGGGTCCCTGTACGGCCTCCCATTGCTGCTGTCTCCATCGCCACACTCTGCCATGTGCCACTTTCAGGTCTCCTCACACTGCTGGTGGGTTCCATTTTGTCATAGGGTGCTGGCAGATTACGGGCCTCCCATTGCTGCTGCCAGGCCCGTAATCTGCCATGGGCCCCCGTACCGCCTCCTCATGCTGTGACGTTGCAACAAGGTGGAATTCAACCCTACATATGTTAGACCGCCTTTACGAACAGCGAAAGGCCATCACCGATTTCCTGATGTTACAAGCGGATAAAGGTACTCCCCTGTGTAACTTAGATGTCAGCCATTGGCAGCTCATGCGTGACACCTGCCGCTTGCTCAGGCCCTTTGAGGAGGCCACGCTATTCGTGAGTCGGCAGGACTATGGGATGAACGACGTCATTCCTCTGTTGCACGTCCTGGAACAAATGCTGTTAACAATGGCTGGTCAGGGAGCGGTAGACGTGACGTGGCGCACAGATCTCAACGCCACATGACCCCTGTGGGGGGCAGGACAGGAAGAAGAGAGGAGGAGGAGGTAGAGGAGGACATTGGTGCTCAGGAATTATTGAGTGAAATGGGTGGTTTTTCCACTCAGCGGACAGGAGTGGAGGAGCAGGAGCATCTGGTAGAGGAGGAGGAGGAGACAGAGGACCCAGACGCACCGTGGCAGTATGCTGTGGAGATGGAGGCAGGGAGTCCCTCGCATTCCTTGGCACAAATGGCCCATAGCATGCTCGCTTGCTTGCGTAGCGACAGCCGAATAATAACCATCAGACAGAGGGATGACTTTTGGCTGTCCACCTTGTTGGACCCTCGCTACCCTTCAAAAATGGTGGCCTTTTTCACACCTGCTGAGAGGGAGGCCAAAATAACGTACTATAAAAACCACCTATGTAGTCAGTTGGTCTCTGCCTTTCTGCGCCAACGTCCATCCTCAGACACTGTGGGCCCTGTGCGCTCGCGTTCCGCTGCCATGGCAGCAGGGGAGGGGTGGGGGGTGGTAGGAGCAGTGGCAGCTCCACCAGCAGTGGCTGCCTCAGTCTGCAGTCGATGATGAGTAGCTTTCTTCACCAGCGCAGTGAGGAAAACTACTAACCAGCCCAGCAGCAGCAGCAGCATCAGGTGGACCTGGAGCAGGACCTCAAACAACAGGCTTGGGCCTACTTGGACAGCACCCTGCCAACCGAGGTAGACAATCCCCTTGACTACTGGGCAACGAAACTTGACCTTTGGCCCCAACTAGCTGAATTTGCCCTTGAAAGGCTGTCATGCCCGGCCAGTAGCGTGGCATCGGAGCGTGTGTGTTTAGTGCGGCAGGAGGTATTGTAACTCCGCGGGAGGACACGACTGTCCACCCAAAGTGTGGAGAGACTCACGTTTGTGAAAATGAATCAGGCGTGGATTAGTCTGGATTTCAAACCACCAGTTCCTGACACAACTGACTAAATCCGCCATGAATCATGCCCCAAACATGTTATTATTTTTAACATAGGCCTCTGTATGGCCTTCAATTTAAGCTGCTTACGCTTCGCCACTCTGCCATGGGCCCCTGTACCGCCTCCTCTTGCTGCTGCCAGGTCCAGAGTGTCATGGGTCCCTGTACGGCCTCCCATTGCTGCTGTCTCCATCGCCACACTCTGCCATGTGCCACTTTCAGGTCTCCTCACACTACTGGTGGGTTCCATTTTGTCATAGGGTGCTGGCAGATTACGGGCCTCCCATTGCTGCTGCCAGGCCCGTAATCTGCCATGGGCCCCCGTACCGCCTCCTCATGCTGCTGCCAGGTCCAGAGTGTCTCATGGGTCCCTGTACGGCCTCCCATTGCTGCTGTCTCCATCGCCACACTCTGCCATGTGCCACTTTCAGGTCTCCTCACACTGCTGGTGGGTTCCATTTTGTCATAGGGTGCTGGCAGATTACGGGCCTCCCATTGCTGCTGCCAGGCCCGTAATCTGCCATGGGCCCCCGTACCGCCTCCTCATGCTGCTGCCAGGTCCAGAGTGTCTCATGGGTCCCTGTACGGCCTCCCATTGCTGCTGTCTCCATCGCCACACTGTGCCATGTGCCACTTTCAGGTCTCCTCACACTGCTGGTGGGTTCCATTTTGTCATAGGGTGCTGGCAGATTACGGGCCTCCCATTGCTGCTGCCAGGCCCGTAATCTGCCATGGGCCCCCGTACCGCCTCCTCATGCTGCTGCTGCCAGGTCCAGAGTGTCTCATGGGTCCCTGTACGGCCTCCCATTGCTGCTGTCTCCATCGCCACACTCTGCCATGTGCCACTTTCAGGTCTCCTCACACTGCTGGTGGGTTCCATTTTGTCATAGGGTGCTGGCAGATTACGGGCCTCCCATTGCTGCTGCCAGGCCCGTAATCTGTCATGGGCCCCTGTACCGCCTCCTCATGCTGCTGCTGCCAGGTCCAGAGTGTCTCATGGGTCCCTGTACGGCCTCCCATTGCTGCTGTCTCCATCGCCACACTGTGCCATGTGCCACTTTCAGGTCTCCTCACACTGCTGGTGGGTGTTCCATTTTGTCATAGGGTGCTGGCAGATTACGGGCCTCCCATAGCTGCTGCCAGGCCCGTAATCTGCCATGGGCCCCCGTACCGCCTCCTCATGCTGCTGCCAGGTCCAGTCCAGAGTGTCTCATGGGTCCCTGTACGGCCTCCCATTGCTGCTGTCTCCATTGCCACACTCTGCCATGTGCCACTTTCAGGTCTCCTCACACTGCTGGTGGGTTCCATTTTGTCATAGGGTGCTGGCAGATTACGGGCCTCCCATTGCTGCTGCCAGGCCCGTAATCTGCCATGGGCCCCCGTACCGCCTCCTCATGCTGCTGCCAGGTCCAGAGTGTCTCATGGGTCTCTGTACGGCCTCCCATTGCTGCTGTCTCCATCGTCACACTCTGCCATGTGCCACTTTCAGGTCTCCTCACACTGCTGGTGGGTTCCATTTTGTCTTAGGGTGCTGGCAGATTACGGGCCTCCCATTGCTGCTGCCAGGCCCGTAATCTGTCATGTCATGGGCCCCCGTACCGCCTCCTCATGCTGCTGCCAGGTCCAGAGTGTCTCATGGGTCCCTGTACGGCCTCCCATTGCTGCTGTCTCCATCGCCACACTCTGCCATGTGCCACTTTCAGGTCTCCTCACACTGCTGGTGGGTTCCATTTTGTCATAGGGTGCTGTATGGCCTCCCATTGCTGCTGCCTCCACCGCCACACTGTGGCTCCACACTCTGGTTTTGGCCCCGTGACTGCCCAAATGAGTGAAGTGTGCGGTGATTCTAAGATCGACGGCACTCATCTGCATGTCATACTGACTGACAGTATTATTTCTCTTCCCCAGCAGACTCCAAGGGCTTTTAAATTAAAGGTACAGTGTTCTGCACTAATATAAAGGCTCTCTGAAGCCTAGAAACACCCTTTTTATATGTTAAATTCGCAGCGAATATGTTCGACTCGAATCGAATTTATTCCGCGAATTCGCCGAATCAGCCGAATCGAATTTTTGAATACTTCGCTCATCTCTACTTACAATGTAACTTCTTTACTGTAGTCAAAGAGATACATACTAACACTAGGGTCATTGTGGTACGAACCAATTAACCTAGAAATATGTTTTTGGAGTGCAAGAAAAAAATGGATCATCTGTAAAAATACACAAAACATAGAAAAAAAACTTGCAATATCCATGCAGGGGAAATTGACCCCAGAACCCAGATTCTGCAAGTGTTACTTATATACCGTAGTTTGTTATCTGAGCTAGCTACTGTTTTACCTCCAATATATCTGCAGTACGTGTATAGGAGATATTTCAGCTTGTATCTTTAATAGTATGCAAAATAACCATGTTGAGGTCTCTATAATTATATCTAGCAGGATGTGTAATTAGGGTATTTCTGAATGCAGGATAGGTGCAATAGACACACCACATGGTAAGACAACACACACAGATGCTTCATCTAACTATTGTGTCTCTCTTTCTTTGCATCAAACATGATAACTTCACAAAATAAAGGGACACAAGTGAAACCTAATCAGGGGATCTGCTTCAATTTACAGTGCATGACAATGAAGGATATGTATTGTGTGTCATCAACAGCTGCTATTCATACGCATTGAGGGTAGAAAGCCTGTCTACATTAGCTGTCACTGTGTGGTTGTTCATTAATATAGGAAAATAACAGCACTATTAAGAACTATGAAGACAAATCATCCTGCTAAGTAGCAAAACGTATACATGACAGGTTCTGGTGATCAATGATCCTGATCATTCAGGAACAATTAAGCAATTTATAAGCATTGTATTAAAAATGAATTGTCAGAGTACTCGGAAGTGAGAAACCTGCAGTTGTACACAAGAATGGAATGCCAAATCCTCTAATCAGCTGGCAGGGGTTCTTGGCATACTTTAAGTTGAAGGGCCTTTGCCTGGTGCCTGATGCTTGAGGTTGTTAATCATAAGACTCCATGCACACTATACCAGGCCCTTATCCGTTCACGCAGGATAAGACGGGGGGAGGGGGGGGACAAGAAAACCTCCTGAATCATACCATACCATACCATACCAGACCACATGACCTCATAATGAGGGGATGCTTTGGGGAAAGGGGCTCCCCCCAAAGCACTTTGTTCCCATGTTAATTGGGACAAGGGCCTCTTCTCCACAACTCTGGGTGGTGGTTACGTGGGTCTGAGGGCAGGGAGCTTATCGGAATCTGGAAGCCCCTAACAAGAGGGGCCCCAGATCCCAGGACCTCCCTATGTGAATGAGTTTGGAATACATAGTAACCCTACTCATTCACAAAAAAAGAAAAGTGTAACTAAAGACAGTTTTTGACAAACAATTTGCCCCAGTTTACATCCATTGTCAATGACGATGAACACAGCTCCACTGACCTGCAAAAAAAAAGAGGTCTGCACCTGACACTGGCTCCTGCTGACTGACAGCTCTGCTTTGTATCTGCCTCTAAATAAACAAAGGGGGTGGGGCCACCTGGTGACATCACTGTGTGACACAGCCCCTTGTGACATCATCTACAGTTTCTGATAAGCCCTCTGCCCGCAAACCCTCATAACCACCACCCAGTGTTGTGAAGAAGAGCCCTTGTCCCCATCAACATGGGGACCTTTGAAGGGAATCCCCCCTGCCCCACAGCACCCTCCCATATTGAGGGCATGTGACCTGGTATGGTTCAGGAGGGGGGGAGCTCACTCACCCCCCCTTTCCTGGCCTGCTGGGCTGCATGCTTGGAAAAGGGTCTATTATGGCTTTTGGGGGGACCCCATGCCTTTTTTAATTTTAATTTTTTGGCATGGGGTTCACCTTAAAATCCGTACCAGACCCGAAGTACCTGGTATAGATTGGGGAGGGGTAACCCCTATGCAATTTGTAAAAATTATTTTTGCCGGCATTCTTTTATTTACATTCAGCTGTCTGGGAAATCCTGTTGACAGCTAGTGAGTTATCTGTTGTTAAGGACACAAGGGCCATCTGCTATTCACGGCTACACTCCAGTACAACACCGGCACAAAAACTGAAAAAAGCCTGCAACAAACTCTAATATTAGCGTTTTTATTCAGCGTTTTTCTGTCATTTTTTGCAGCTCCTAGTGTGCATAGAGCCTAAGAGTGCATACAAAGAAAGTACCGTGTAGAACAGCGGTGGTCAACGTTCTTAATATAGGGGGCCTCAAGTGCAACCCTAGACCTCACCAAAGGGACGCACAAAATTCAGCAAATATTCAGTGTCAGAGACAGCAGACATACAGCAGGATGGGCATGATACAAGAGATGGCCAGAGACTGGAAATAATGCAGGCAATGGTCAAAAGACTGCTGACAGGATACAAGAGATGGTCAGATACTGCTGACATTGTACAGGAGATGGTCAGAGACTGCAGACATGAAATAAGAGATGGTTAGAGAATACAGTAAGAGTTGTTGAAGACTTGGGACATACTTCTGGAGCAGTCATAGACTGGAGACCTGTTACACGAGACAGCTAAAAATCACTGTAATAGGACAATAAGGAAACACAGATTAGCGTCTGCAGAGGCCTTGAGGGTAAAGGGCTGGTAAGTTGTAAGTGCCAGGTAAGCTGTACAGTAAGTGAACTGTTCACGCATTTACCTTAGGGTGCATTGACACTTGTGCAGTCCATGCTGTCATTGCAATGCTTTAAAAATCAGGTGATTGCACGTGCAATTGTTAAATGGGGATAGTACAATGCATAGACATTCATTAGATATTGGAATGCCCACGCATGATATTCTCATTGCCCACGCTCACTGCATTTGATCTCTGTGGTTATATCATGGACATCATTTTTTAAAGTGATGAATTGAGCTCAGCACTTATGTACTTTTAAAGTAGTTTTAAAACCTAAACATTGTTTACGTTAATGTATTCCCAGGATTAAAGGATAAATTCACTTAAAAAACAAACAAAAAAAAAACAATAAATGCCCATTTTTTTGCAGGTAAAAACTGTGCATTTACTTTTTTTTTTTTTGAGCCTGGAAAGCATTACACCAGCAACACCACTCGACAGCGCCGTGGTTGCTCATTGAGAGGTACAAGCTGATCTAAGGCCAGCCATACATGGGTCGATTTCCAAACGATTTTTCATTTGAAAATTGGACCTAAGAATAATTGACTGTTTTTCGCTCTGTTAGTGGGGCAATGGCACTGGCTGATTTTCGTGGTTCCTCCTCATTTTTTTGTTGGAAAATTCGTGAAAAACTACCAATTTTTGAAATCATTGGTGGCAACATCAGATTACAGAACGAACAACGGTTTCAATTTTCGATCAAAAAATCATTTGGAATTCGACCCATGTATGGCCTGCTTTAGGATCTGGTCTAGAGAGCTCATTGAAGAGTGTATGGTGAAAGTTAGAAGGAGTCTACTGTCCTGTGGCAATGTGAGCATTAACCTCTCCCTCACTGAAGTGTCCGGTGGATACTGGAAGGAGGCATGCGGTGATCCTGTGACATTGTGAATACTAACCTGAGCTCAGGGTTCTTGTGTCTGTGTGCTGTATGGGTGAAGAAATCAGTAGTATTCCTTACTGGGATAGCTTCCAAAAAAGGGGCTGAGTTCTACCATCCAAGGGCAGACTGACAATTCATGGGGCCCCCGGGCAATAGGGGATCATGGGACCCCTGTGTCCTTGCCCAAACTCCAAAAAGTCTATGGTAAAGGTACCAGGGGCATCTCATGGGGCCCCCTACTGACTCCGGGCCCTCGGGCAGTGCCCGAGTTTCCAAATGGTCAGTCCGCCCCTGCTACCATCTATCCCTGCTTCTGCATAGAGACTGCTTAGAGAGGCTTAACAAGGTGAAGTGTTCTTCTGCAAATGTTCAGGGAATCTGGATTATCCCATATCTTCCCACACCCCATGCAAGCTCTTCAGCAATAAAAAAAAACCTGAAAACATCACAGTGGCTAAGTGGTTAGCATTTTTGCCTGGCAGCAAGGTCATCATTTCAAATCCCAACCACACTACTTGCATGGAGTTTGGATGTTCTGCCTGTGTGGGTTTCCTCCTACACTCCAACGACCATGCTAGTAGGTAAATTGGTCCTCATTTGAATGTAAGTTAGGGACCTTAGATTGGAAGGTCCCTGAGTGCAGGTATGATGTGAATGTATAATAAATGATTAAATTTGACAGCGCTATATAAGTAACTAACAAAGGTGCAGCGCTGTTCTAATAATAAACCTCAGATGTTGAATACTGATAAAACAAGAAATTGATCTGTAATCACAACAGCATATTATAAATAAGCATAAAATCCAACTGTTAATGTGAAGATAGCTGAAAGTGACAGTAGTGCATATACATAAAAGTGACCACTTAATCTTGAAGTGCCAAAGTCTATGTATATAAATGAATGAAGTATGTGATCTACTGTGCGTCTTCTGGTGATTAAATATTCGAATTATACACTCACCGGATGCATAATTCTAATATGCATATAGAAACATATATCATCTCCGTGGTTCAATGGAATCATCAAATGGGTACGTCTACCATCCCTGGGCTTCCCTCTGGGCACTTCTATCCCTTTGGGGGACCCTCTGGATCATCCGGTTGGATACAGCACCTCTGGACTCCCTTCCCTGAGGACTCTCTCCAGCCATCACCAGAACACCCTTGGGGAAATGTGTGTAAGTATCAGGAGGGCCCAACAGCAGAAGATCACCCCTGTTAGAAATTTAGGAACACTCCCAGGTGTCTGATATACCCAGCTTGGGTAGTTACCACCAGCTACAGAGCCATCACTACGACCACAGGACAAAATGACATTACCACCAAGAGACGCGGTTATTGTGGGTTCCTGGATGACAGTAAACTGAGCCACAGAATCTCTTGCTGCACTTCTTTTATTACAC